AAAATTCTTTATTTTTGGTGCAGATTTGCATGCAACGTACATACATTCTTTACGTTTTGGTCTGATACATGAGTAAACATTGTATGTAACATCATATGTTTGTGGTTTATGTCTGGTGAGCATGCTGCACATTTTTAGAAGTGTGATGGACTGTCGGGTTGTAGTGAGTTGATCAATATATGAGTTAATAAACTCCCTCTATGAGTGGTGCCGCAGAGTTTGCGTGCCAGTGAGTTTTGCGGTGTCTAGGTCGCTCGGGTGTATGTAGAAGGGAGAGGTGTTGGTGTCTCTGTTGTGTCGGCCCCACTAGGTGGCAGAGCTGTGGTTCCAGGTGATATCTTGGTTCCATCTCCAGTGAGTGGGCTATCTCTATGAGGTAGTACTAATGGTGTAAGTCCTATCGTGTGGCCCTCATCTGTGTGTATGATCCCTTTTCCTCTTGTCTTTTTCTCCCTGGCGTGTCAGAACTATGGGGGCGAGGGGGAAGAGTTCCTGAGCATAGTGTGAGCGCTGTGTGTGTCCTATGGGTGTTTCAGCAAAGGAGAGTGACTATGCATTAGCGTGTGTAAGAGTAGGCGAATTAAGCGAAACTTGTAGTGTTAAGATGTAGTGTTACAATTGCAAAACTTTGTAACTAAGAAAGTCACGTATGTGCCACTGCAACATGAGATGGCCAGGCATGTTATTTGGTTCAGGTCTTTCCGGGGTCGGGTGAAGACGTGTCCGAGTCAGTGTCCATTCGGGGTTGCGTATCGGGCGGTTCGTGAGTAGGGTTAGGTTGCAAGTTCAGTGCCGCCAGGAGTGCAGGAGCGTCTGCAGGGTCTGTGGCCTTATAGAACTTTCCGTTTTTGGTGACCCACAGTATGTGCAGTGTCGCCCAACTGTAGGTCAGTCCTTTTTGTAGGGTCTGCGTGAGGGGTTGCATGGCTTTTCGCCACTGTAGTGTGGCTCTACTAAGATCTTGGAAGAAGGAAATTTTACAGTTCTCAAAGTTATATGGCGTCTTCCCTTTTAGCACCGCTAGCAGGCTTAACTTGTTGGACATCACTTGACACCTCAGGATTATGTCTTGTGGTGCAGTTTCAGGGGCCCTAGGGGATTTGGCCATTCTGTAAAGGAGAAGTACTTGGCTTCTCTTGCTGGCAGTAGTGATGCCACCAGCCTTCTTATGAAGTGTGGCAATACTTCTAGGGGTATTGACTCTGCTACTCCCCTTACCTTTATGTTCTTTCTCCTGCCCCGGTCGTCTAGTATGTGCACTGGTTTGTTGGTTTCAGCTTGTGTATTCTGCAAATGCTGTACCTGGTCACTGAGTGCTTTAAAGCTTTTTTGTAGGTCTATTACATTTCTTTCTGCAGTCTGTGTGCGCATTTTGAGGGCCTGTACCTCCGTTTTAAGAACCGCCAGATCTGCCTCCCACATTGTCCTGAGGTTGTTTTGGAGGTCGGTGAGCATATTTTGAATTTCCCTTTTTGTTGCCGGAGCTTCTGTCTCCTGTGGATGTAGTGTACCTTTGTTTACTGGTATCGGGCTCTGGAGTGGGGTCCCGCAGTCAGCCTTTGAGAGTGAGGGCTCTCGGGTGAGTGAGGGCTCTCGTGCCGCCGGTGTCATCGTGGGCCCCGTTTGTTGCAGCATCAGGCCTCTGTTGTGCTGCGTCCTGCTAATAGTCGCAGGGGTTTTTTGGGTTCTCTTGCCCATGTCGCCTGTCAGCAGAGGGAAGAAGCCTGTCTCGTCCCAGTCCAGTAGGCCTCTGTAGGCTGCTGGGGGATGTCTGGTAGTAGGATAGGCCTTGGAGCCTCGGTTCTGGTATTTTTTTGCCCGGGGTATATAAAAAAGGCATCGGAGGATTCAGTGCGGCTTGTTGCTGCGATATCTGCCCTCCTTTCAGTTGGTATTGCCAAGATGCAGGGGATATTAGGTGGATTAAGTTTTTAGCGCTCGGAGCTGTGGAAATGGCGTCTATTCGGATGCACTGCCCAATAATGCAATTTTTTTAAGGCAATTAATTGAAGTTATTCTCCACCATGGGATTTTCCGCAAGTCACAAGTGCCTTATAAGAAAAACCTTTTGCTCCGTTAGATGAGCTAAACCCAATAATGAAAATGTATGAAACCTTATTTCTTGTTGCCTTTATGTCTGCCAAAACAACGTCCAAGATCCAGGCCTTTTCTTGTGAGGAAACCCATACTATGGTATACCACTACAGAGTGGTTTTGAGACAAAAGAGTTCTTACCGAAAGTCGCCTCAAGTTTCCATCTGACTACGGAAGTGGTTTTGCCCTCATTTTATCCCAATGCTACATGTGAAGCAGAAGCCAAACTATCCCAACTGGAAGTGAGAGAATGCATCATTAAATATTTGGCAGCATTCCAGATGCTTCTGGTAAGCTAGACAATTATTCATTCTTCCATTCAGATGTAGAAAAGGAGAAGCAGCTTCTACATCCACTCTGAGGCGCTGGATTTCTAATGTAGATATGAAGGCCTAGCTAAAAAATAATTCGACCAGAGCTTTGGTGACATCATTGGCTAATTGGCATAGGTTTTATTTTGAAATTTGTAGGGCAGCGACTTAGCCATATCCAGTGACCTTCATTAAGGACTACAAGTTGGATGTAGCCTCTTCTTCCACCTCTTTTGGGAGCAGTGTCTTATCCTCTGTGTCTTCTGTATAATAAAGTGTGTTCTGGCATTACATAGTTTTTGGGTTAGTATATTATTTCGATCCTCCCTTGAATTTCTGAGCTTTTTAATTAAACTGAGGTATGAAGGGAGGACAGTCTGAGCAATTGTTTAATTATTTCCTGTCCTTATCAGGCTGGAGGTGGAGCTACCAGAATGTGGTGTGCTCCCATGATAAAAGTCAGGAAAAGAAAATGGCGGAAAGTATGGTATAAGTTTTCCTTCTTGGCTTCCCCAAAATACTGCTGTCTCCTTGGGTATCACACTCATACTGGGGGCATATTAAAGTGAACATTTTAAGGTCCAAGCAACGCTGGAATAAAGGAGAGTTGTTATCCTATTCAACAAGGAGCAAGGAGGGGGAGGGGGGTGGTACTGGCCACCTAATCAGTGGTTTTAAGAAACTAGGGTCAGGAATACACGTTTGTATTCCTGGCCCTATGAAATTCCTTTAAGGCCTCCATTTTACATACAGGAGTGAATCTCTGAAGTAGTAATAAACTGGCTGCTGACATGTTCAATGCTTTCTCTCTGAATTTAAAGGATCACTATAGGGTCAGGAACAGAAACATGTATTCCTGACCCTATAGTGTTAAAACCACCATCTAGCGCCCCCTGCCTCCATAAATATAGCAAAAATCTTACTGTATTGAAGCCAAAAGCTGTAACTCTGCATGCTGTTAGACTCAGAAAAACCAGCAGTCTACTGCCATCATCAGAAGTGGTGGTCTGATCCAATCACAATGCTTCCCCATAGGACTGGCTGAGGCTGACAAGGAGGCAGATCAGGGGCAGAGCCAGCATGATTCAAACACAGCCCTGGCCAATCAGCATCTCCTCATAGAGATGAATTGAATCAATGAATCTCTATGAGGAAAGTTCAGTGTCTGCATGCAGAGGGAGGAGATACTGAATGTTTGGATGCATTTTAGGCAGCCATGACCCAGGAAGGATCTCTAACAGCCATCTGTGGAGTGGCCGGTGAAGTTCTCACTAGGCTGTAATGTAAACACTGCATTTTCTCTGAAAAGACAGTATTTACTGCAAAAAGCCTGAAAGTAATGATTCTACTCACCAGAACAAATTCAATAAGCTGTAGTTGTTCTGGTGACTATAGTGTCCCTTTAATACATCCTGCTTACTCATAATGATATATTTCTGATTGCATAATGTACCTACTGGTGGCCGTGCTTGTCTCAGCTCAATTAACGTATTATGGTTAGTCACTGTTTGAGAATTACTGGGAATCCACAGGACATATTACGTTAAAGGCCAAAGTAGCAAACCACATTTACAGTTTGGCTTTAAGCTTGAAATGAACTTTAAATTCCTGACAGTTCTTCCTTTGGTGAACACCCCCTTTTGTCTTTAGCTGAAGTTGATGTAAATTAATCTGTATTTCACGCCACTTGAGGAAGAAAGTCTACGTTTTTACGGTTGGATGTTCCTTGACAGATATCCTCACATTAGCCTTGGCACCCACCACTAAAACCTTGTATTTTCCTAAAAAAAACAGAGGCCAGTTTTCTAGTCTGCTGACTTTCTGGACAAAATAAAAATGCAGATTTGTTCCACATTTATATTCGTAACAGTTTGACTTCTGTTATTTGGCTGTTTGTCTATTTCTTTTTGATCAAAAAAAATGGTTAAATGGAAACTGTCACCACAAAACGTATTCTTTTAACACCATAACCATTTCATAAAGTAAAAAAAAAAGAAACTTTTTTTTAACTCATTCCTACCCTTAGTGTATGACAGGATTCTTGGGCCAGATACAGGCACTTTGAATCAGACAGTGTTTGAAAACCAACAGTTCTGTGCGGGGAGTGAAGCAGGGTAGGATCACAAGCTGTATTGTATGACGCATCCTGTCATATACAAAGACGAGGTTTTCTCTTTTTTTTCATATCATTTAAAACATAAAAAAAAATATATTTTTTTAAATAAAACCTATTATATTTTAAAACTTTATGAAAGGATTATTATATTAAAAATCAGAATGATCTATAAGATTAGGCAGAAAGAGGCTAAGCAAGTTATAAGAGCTTCCAAATCACACACAGAAGAGAAAATAGCACAGTCAGTAAAAAAGGGGGATAAAACATTTTTTAGATACATAAATGAGAAAATGAAAGTAAAACAAGGATTAGTTAGATTAAAAACAAAAGAAGGAAGGTATGTAGAAGAGGATAAAGGTCTAGCTGACTGCCTCAATTAATATTTTTGTTCAGTATTTACAGATGAAAATGAAGGAAAGGGACAAATGAGTCATTTATTACATGCAAGTTTACAGAGGAAGAGGTTCTATTTCAACTGTCAAAAGCAAAGACAAATAAGTCAATGGGACCTGATGGAATACACCCAAAGCTATTAAAAGAGCTTAGTGGTGTACTAGCAAAACCATTAACAGATTTATTTAACCACTCATTGTTAACAGGAGTAGTCCCAGAAGATTGGAAGTTAGCAAATGTTGTGCCCATTCACAAAAAAGGTAATAGGGAGGAGTCGGGCAACTATAGGCCAGTAAGCCTTACTTCAGTAGTGGGGAAAGTGATGGAAACCATGTTAAAGGATAGGATTGTTGAACATCTAAAAACACATGGATTTTAAGATCAGAGACAACGCCAAAATAATCTTAGTTTTTTTGATCGGGTAACTAAAATAATTGATCAAGGTGATACAGTAGACATGAGTTTGTATTCAAATATTGTTGATTGAGTTAAGCAGTGGCTGTGTGACACAATAGAGGGTTGTAGTCAATGGAGTATATTTGAAGCAAAGTCTTACCAGTGGGGTACCTCAGGGATCTGTACTTGGACCCATTCTCTTTAATATTTTTATTAGTGATATTGCAGAAGGTCTTGATGGTAAGGTATGTCTTTTTGCTGATGATACTAAGATATGTAACAGGGTTGATGTTCCAAGAGGGATAAGCCAAATGACAAATGATTTAGGTTAACTAGAAAAATGGTCAGAATTGTGGCAACTGACATTTAATGTGGATAAGTGCAAGATAATGCATCTTGGACGTAAAAACCCAAGGGCAGAGTACAGAATATTTGATAGAGTCCTAACCTCAACATATGAGGAAAGGGATTTAGGGGTGATTATTTCTGATGACTTAAGGTAGGCAGACAATGTAATAGAGCAGCAGGAAATGCTAGCAGAATGCTTGGTTGTATAGGGAGAGGTATTAGCAGTAGAAAGAGGGAAGTGCTCATGCCATTGTACAGAACACTGGTGAGACCTCACTTGGAGTATTGTACACAGTACTGGAGACCGTATCTTCAGAAGGATATTGATACCTTAGAGAGGGTTCAGAGAAGGGCTACTAAACTGGTTCATGGATTGCGGGATAAAACTTACCAGGAAAGGTTAAAGGATCTTAACATGTATAGCTTGGAGGAAAGACGAGACAGGGGAGATATGATAGAAACATTTAAATACATAAAGGGAATCAACACAGTAAAGGAGGAGACTGTATTTAAAAGAAGAAAAACTACCACAACAAGAGGACATAGTCTTAAATTAGAGGGACAAAAGGTTTAAAAATAATATCAGGAAGTATTACTTTACTGAGAGGGTAGTGGATGCATGGAATAGCCTTCCAGCTGAAGTGGTAGAGGTTAACACAGTAAAGGAGTTTAAGCATGCGTGGGATAGGCATAAGGCTATCCTAACTATAAGATAAGGCCAGGGACTAATGAAAGTATTTAGAAAATTGGGCAGACTAGATGGGCCGAATGGTTCTTATCTGCCATCACATTCTATGTTTCTATGACAGTTGTCTTTTAAACTAATCATTTGATTTTGAGTTGGATTGCAACAGAAGGGGGGTTATAGACCATGTGCTGTGCTAATCGGTTTATGAACGTTCTATGGATTTGAAGCTAGGTAGTGTATTGTAATGTGTTAGTCGCTCCCCTCCCCCCAAAAAACAACTTCAACCTCTTTACACCCATCTCCACTAATATCTTTATCCAGCATTTACTATTCTGTTTCCAAATACACCCCAATCCTGTCTTGTATCGAAGCAGTCGCTCTGTAACTCTGCATTTACCCACCTATTCCTCTATATGCCCCAAATCTGTTCTCCAATACAACCAAACTCATCCCCTTCCCAAATTCTATTCATGAATGATAAAGATCGCACGGAACAGACAGCTCTGCCTTGCTGCACCTAGACTATGGGAATGTAGGGCGTGAGAAGGCTTTTAAATAGTAATTAGAACTGGGCTCAGGGAAAGACTTTATTGGTGGAAAATTCAACGGAACGTCTTCCATGATCAAACCTGAGGGGAGCAAGTGACAGAACAAAATGTCTAAAATCACATTATGCCATAAAAATGTACAAAATTGCAGGGGTGGGGTATGGGGTATAATATATAAATATTTACAAGTTGGTGGCAGCATTTGTTGGAGTTCTATCTAGAGTCCCTCTCCTTGTAAATGTCCCTGCGATGTGGGGAGCCAGGTCGTGATGTTGATATAAGTGGAGGTGGGGCACTCAGAAGATTGATGGGCGGTGTCTTTCTAAGTAAAGTGGCACCTGGGTGAGGGTAGAGAGAGCCAATCATGGGTGGGGTCGCAGGCTGCATAGTGACATGAGTAGGCATCCCATACACGCGGGCACGCTCAAAGTCCTCTCTCAGGATATGGGCTCTCTCCTCCCTCTGTTCATACAGGCGTGGTGGTACAGGTGGAAGGCGTAGTGGAGCAGGGTCTGCTCTGCGGTATAGATCTCTCCATGGTTCCAAAGAATGAGGGAACTGATCTCCAAGAAAAGCCCCTCGAAACCTCTCCAGTGTGGGTGAGGTGTGGGGCAAGTGTAGCCCAGGGATGGTGGAACGACTCACATCAAAGGTAAGGACCTCCGGTTCCTCTTTCACCTTTACCTTGGGGGGATGGTCTGGAGTCAGACGAGGCTTTATTTCAGAGCTGCTGCCTGGCCTTATACCGACATATGGCGAGATGGTGCGGCTGGGGCCACGCTCATCTCCCCCAGGAAGACGCTGTGACGAAGTGAGAGGTGAAGCATGCGTTCCCAGACGTGAAAAAATGAGATCTCTGTGTGAAAAAGCAAATTACATATTACCATCAGCACAGTTCTAGCAAAACTCATCTGGCTCTCAAGCTAGGCTTCTTACCTATCCTTTTCCTCCTTAATGAGAACACTACTGTGTGCATCCATGTCCCCTGGCTTAGGACAAACTATGGGGAAGGATGGAGGAGTGCGATGCAGCCGATTCCAAGCATCATGGGGGCTGGGGAAGCTATGCATTGTGGGAGATTCCTTCTGATTAAACATGGTGGAGGGATCTACAAAACAAAAACACATTATGAAATTTGATGGAAGACCTGAATCACCAGAGAAACATTGAGGGATTTGTTTAAAAGTACACTTTAGTCACCAGAACTACAACTTAATGTACAATACACAGCTTAATGTGTAGTGTATATACAGCTTAATGTACAGTACACAATATAATGCATATTATACAGCTTAATATACAATACACAATTTAATGTATAATATACAGCTTAACCCCTTAAGACACAGCTCCAAAAGCTTGTCTTACCCTTAAAGACACAAGCATTTTTGCATTTTGTGCTGTTTGTGTTCAAACGCAATTTGCATCTGTCATTTATTGCAACAACACATATTATATACCATTTTTCAGAGGGCAAACAGAGCTTTAATTTGATGTCACATATACATAAAATAGATGGATTTGACCAGCCTATGTCTCATTTTAGGGTATTATAGCAGTGTGACTGTTCAAAGAACCCCACAAAGGGCTTCCATTTGATAAAGCAGATACCCCAGGGTATCTTATATGGGGTATATTGTGCCTTAAAGGACCACTCTAGGCACCCAGACCACTTCAGCTTAATGAAGTGGTCTGGGTGCCAGGTCCTTCTAGGGTTAACCCATTTTTTTTTTATAAACATAGCAGTTTCAGAGAAACTGCTATGTTTGTGAATGGGTTAAGCCTTCCCCCTAATCCTCTAGTGGCTGTCTCATTGACAGCCACTAGAGGCGCTTGCGTGTTTCTCACTGGGCTCCCCGCCCAGCGCTGGAAAAAGGTAAGTTTTTAACCCTTTCCAGAGCCGGGCGGGAGGGGGTCCCTGAGGGTGGAGGCACCCTCAGGGCACTATAGTGCCAGGAAAACGAGTATGTTTTCCTGGCACTATAGTGGTCCTTTAACTTGTCACCATTTGTTCACCAACTTATGTCAATGTTTGTGGTGAGGGGGGAGGGGGTGAGGGAAGAATTGGCTTTTTACATATATATTGCATTTTTGCAGAGTATCTCTTACACTTTATTTGCACCACTGTCATAAACCCACCCCCAAATTATGCTCAGTTATCTTCTGAATAAAACAATATGCCCAATGTATGACCTAGACACTATTTTGTGAAGTTACAGTGCTGTAAAAGAGATGTGACAAGTTCAGGTTTGTAAGTGTGAATTTTCATGGAGGATTTTGATGCATCCGTGTCCCACTTTGGAGCACTTGAGCAGGCTACATATTCCAACTACACCATAAAGGCATCCCATTTCTTAAAGAAGACATCCCAGGGTATTTTGGGGGGCATAATTTTTCCGCTAGATAGTTTGCACAAGATATTTTGTAAACCTTATGTGTGCTACGACTGTATAATACTTAATATGTTGCTTAGCTATGTCGTCTGAGTACAGCAATACCCCCGTATGTTCCTTTGCCAGGTATATGTGGATATGTTGAAGGGGTACATTTAAGACGCAGCCATACACTTTTTCCTAACGTTGAAGTTTTACGCTGTGTCCATGTTCCATTTTGGAGTAGGTTAGCTGGCTGGTTATTCAAACTTCCCCACAAACACATACTATTTATTAAAGAATACACCCTGGGGTAATTCAAAAGGCATATTTTGAACCTCAGCATGGGATCATTTTTTCGCTAATATGTTCCAAGTGTAGTGGTAACGAGCATTTTTTTTTATGTATTTAACTTTTTAAAACTTTTTTTTACAGTCGAGACTCGTTTTTAAACTTTTTCTTTTACTTATTAAAATGTTTTAAAGGTTCTTAACTTTTTTTACACTTGTAAAAAATTTTATAAATCTTTTTTTACTGTTAACCACTAACGGTAAATTCCCCAATATCCCATAACTCCCACCCATCCCAGCTAGCAAAATATATAATTTTCAAATATTTAAATGAATTTATGAAATAAATTGAACCCCTGAGGGTTAAAAAAAAATAAACAGTCAATCCTCAGGGGTTAAAAAAAAAAAAGAGATCACAGTATAATACTGTGATCTGTATTTTGATCACTGTAGGCAGTGATCAATTGGCAGGGAAGGGGAATTTAAAAAAAAAAAAAAAAACCCACACTTTTAAAAGCTTATTTTAAAACTTTTTTAATGTTAACCCCTAGTTAGCCTAACACCAAATCCCCCAATAACTTTCACCCACCCCTGCTAGCTAAATATATAATTTTAAAATCTTTAAATTAATAAAATAAATTTAACCACTGAGGGTATTAAAAAAATAAAATTAAAATAAAAATCAGATGACAGTAAAATGTAGTCCCTGCCAATTGATTACTGCAGTCAGTGATCATTTGGCAGAGAAGGGGTTCATTTTCTTAAAGCAGGGGGAAAGGGGCGCACTGATCCATCTCCCTGCACTTCACACTGACTGCGGAAGAGCAGGGAGGCGGATTGTGAGTCCCTGCAGCACATGTGCTCGGTCTGACAGCCTGTCACCCCCTTTAATATCCCAGCTCCTCACCCTAACACCCCCTTTAATATCCCAGCACCTCAGTGAAATCCGCCTGTAAAGGAAACACTCCAGTCACCAAAACAATTCATCTAAATAAAGTTGCTATGGTGACAGGAATCCACAGGGCACTCTGTTTCCTTAATGGGTTAAACTAATCTCGAATGGTTTATCCTCATAGACTGCCTCCAGCACCGGATATCCAGGACCCCAGTGGCAGTTTCAAGAAGTACGTAGTGCCGCTGATTGGCTCTTAGCCATTCAGTAGTTCCCAATTCACTTTTTTTTATGTCCCAACCATAACATACAGGGATATAGTTTCTAATTAGTGGGGTAATAGCTGCTTGATCCAAGGAGACATCTGACTGCTATTTTGGGGTCAGGAAGGAATTTTTTCCTAGTTTGTGGCAAAATTGGAAGCGCTTTAGACCAGGTTTTTTGCCTTCTTTTGGATCAACAGCAAAAACATATGTGAGGAAGGTTGCACTTGATGGATGCAAGTCTCTTTTCAGCTATGTAACTATGCAACTATGTAACAAATTAGTTGGTACCCGCAAGATGGCACTCTGGGCTTCCTGAAACTCGTTTTCAGAAGCCGGATGCTGCTGGAGGACCTGGAAATTCGGCGCTGGACGCAGCCTTTGGGGTTAAGCTGGGAGCCTCCTGGCACCATAACTTTATTTAGATGAAGTTGTTATGGTGACCAGAGTGTTCTTTAATTCAGCTCCCCACTGAACACACCCTTAATTTAGCACCCCGCTGAAATCTGACTTTTAATATTGATAGTAGGGGATGGAGTTTATACTAAGAAAACACTCACTATAAGAGGGGCCCCCCAATCCACCAAACGCCCCATTAGTTAGAGATGCCAAAGAAGAAAATCCAGACGTCCGATTGAATGGGTCTGCAAAAAAAGAGGAACAGCAGAAAACAGTTAGAGTCCAAAAGAGGTAAAACATACAAAACACAGTGAAAGGAAATCAGCGGTTCCCAATCTGTGTTCCGTGGCGACGCAAGATATTTTCCCAGTGCTATGATCATACCACTGAGAACTGTGCTTACTTCTCCCCTGCTGGCTCTGCAGGACCAGAGGGGAGATCAGAGATTTCCCACTCCGGCCCGCTAGCACTGTAATACTGGCAGCCAGCAGGGGAGAGAGGACCCGGGGGAGCTTTAACTTGCAGCTTCGCCAGGTTCTCCTCTTGTGAGCTTGGAACGTTGCTGCAGTTACCACAGCAATGCCCATCACGAGTATATTCTAGCCTGAGCTGCAGGTTAGAGTTCACTCTCACCACTAGGACAGCCAGGGCTTTTCCACCAGACCACCAGGAATTAGTAGTGTCCCCCCACCCCAGGAAAAGGTAAGCAGAGGGGGGTGGGGGGAGGATATCAAAATAATTAGAATTATTTATTAAATTTTCCCTCTTAACCCCACAGAGACAATTACACACACACATCTGCAGATCCCAGGAAAGTTGTTAAACAGTTTGACTACTTTCTCTGGGAGGGCACTACAGTACTGCTGGCACCATAACCACTACAAAGTGCTGTCGTGGTTATTGTGCCTGGATTGTTTCTTTAAATAATCTACCAGTGCCCCTCCCAAGATTAGGTTCTGGATCTGCGCTTGAAGGGCAAGCATTTCTGTCCAACAGGAGCCCAGTATATGCTGCTGCGCTGTACATATATACAACCTAGAAAATTGTTTTGACTTGGGGCACCTTGTAAAAATATTGAAATATTAAGGGCGCCTTGAACCTAAAAAATATGGGAACCACTGGTATAAAATCAAAGAACAGAGACATTGTCATCCACTGTCCTCAACAGTGAATGGTGCACAAGGAGACACTGGCATTATGTAATCATATGTTCACATGGCTCCAGACTGCAGACCTAAAGGCAGGGGTTCATTGCTGTTCGAGAAGATCCACCGTACAGCAGACTCACACAGAAAGCTTACCCACAGATCCTGATGGGGGCAGGAAGGATGCTGCGGCGGGAGGAGTAACCCGATATTGATTCGGTGTGTGCGACATGGTGCCTATAAAGAAAAAAGATATGAGATGAGAGAGAAATGAAGGATGGGGATAGATAAAGGACTAGAGAACAAGACACAATTATGAGTAAAAAATAAAGACACACACACAGGTCATAACAAGTACTATGAATCTCAATTCAAAATGAAAATAGGAAATTCATTACCAGTGAAGAGAGAGGAAGGTCGCACTAGCTCGTGAGAGGTGGGTAAAGAACCAAGTCCTGGTGGTAGGCAGGACAAAAGATCACCTCGGAAATCATACTTATGGGTTCCATGTGCAAGCTGTGGGAGAGAGCGTATGCAATATACCTGTAGTCAGCAATAAAGAGGGACTTGGTGGAAAGGAAGAGGGTGGGATGGCTTGGAAGAGAACACAATACCTTAAGTCTCTCCTGATGCCGCAAAATCATATATGCAACACGAACATGCATTGCACACCAGCGCCCAGACCTCTGTAATAAGGAAAGAGAAAGGAAAGGTTTCTTCAGGGTCATAAGAGGGATCATACACAATTCACAAACGAGACAGAGCCAGGCGGGTATCACCTTGGTAAACCTCACATATGGCAAATACAGATAGCTACACAGATATCAATCATTCGCTATACTGCAGTGAGAAAGTGCAAATGGACACAATCCTACACAGAAAAACTCACCCTCGGCTTGAACTGGTCTGTAAGCTGAAAAAATTATAAATACATAAATACATTAAAAAAAAATAAATAAAAAAAAAATCAGCAACTGTATTTCTTCCTCTCGGCACACCTTCCCAGCATTCTCTCCGCGGCCTCCTCGGCCCACCACCACTGCATCCCATCCGCCTCCTCGGCCCACCACCCCAGAATCTCCTCCGCCTCCTCGGCCCACCACCCCAGAATCCCCTCCGCCTCCTCGGCCCACCACCCCAGTATCCCCTCCGCCTCCTCGGCCCACCACCCCAGTATCCACTCCGCCTCCTCGGCCCACCACCCCAGTATCCACTCCGCCTCCTCGGCCCACCACCCCAGTATCCACTCCGCCTCTCGGCCCACCACCCCAGTATCCACTCTGCCTCTCGGCCCACCATCCCAGAATCTCCTCTGCCTTTCGGCAAACCACCCCAGAATCCCCTCTGCACACCACCCCAGTCAGGTCATTTCCAGCATTGGCTTCCCGGCTTCCCATGTTGGCACATCACATTATATTACCCCAACATCCACTTCCCAGCATACTAAAGATACCACTCATACTGAAAATGTCTCACCTGTGCAGTCTTGTGGCCAACAGCAGAAGGGACAGAGCACCGTGAGGCCAGCTCTGAACTTGTGCTCTATAAGGAAAAGGGTGGCTTAAATGTAAACATAATAGGTGAGAAAATTCCACCACACCACCACCGTCATCATATACTCACCTTGGGCTGAAAGGCCCCCTGAAGGGATCCGAAAGAGACATTGGGAGGTAGAACAGGACTAAGAGCAGTGATAACTGGTGAATATGGTGGAAAAAACTGCATTTAAAAAAAAAAAAAAAAAAAGGAAAATAGTGTTAAGAGACAGTGTGAAGAATGTGGGAGCGCTGCGACACAAACCATAAAAGGTATGAAGAGGGGGACAGAAAGAATCCAGAGCAGGAGAGGGCCCCTCACTGAAAAACTTTAAAAAACGGCCTGGGGAAAATAAAAACAACCTGCCAGTTCAGCTAACCGCATACTAGCGATACTTGGTTTCTAGTAACAGACAGTCCGGTTACGGTCGGAGAGAACTCCCTGTAAGTCTTTAATGCGCATGCCCCGAGCACTATAATCACTACAGACCACAGCGTTACTTTTAATTCTACGGTAAAATTTATTCTTTCACATTCATTTTTTTCCGCAATAAATAAAAAATGTTCAAAAATAGAAACAAACAAAAAAAAAAACAAGGCCACATGAACATTAAATGGGATGGCCCACACGGCTATAAAACATTATGGATCATGGAGAGTGCCTGACACAATCCACATTTCATTCACTAAACTGACAAATAACACTGTGATAGCTTTTTTCTAGTCTGGATATTTGGGCTACAAATGACAATCCCCTTGTTCATAGTCTATAGTTCCCAGTTTAGAGAATTAACCCATTAGTCTGCAGAGAGCACTCCAATGAAATCTATCTTGAGGGGAGTGTGTGGCAGGTCGGGTTCCTGATCACCAAACCATAAAGTGATTAAAAAAAACAAACACACACCTCAGCACACAGTGTAAAGGTCGATGGGAGTTTATTCAGCCATGGCTTGGCAAAGGCACCAGGAGTGCCCAAACGATGACTAGCATTAGTGGCTGAATAAACTGCCACAGACCTTTCGTTCCTAAACATCCCCAGAAATCACAGGAGGGAGTGGGGTCAGCATTCTGAATGCACTGCCACTAGGAGGCACAGAGGAGCAATCCGTGCGCATTGTACTCACATTCTGTCTGTACAGACTTTCTATCTTAGCAGGATACTTCTCAAACTGAAATAAGAACAAGAGACACATGAAGGCAATTGGAGAAGCAGTGGATATGACAGTAAGGAATGTGGGAGTGTAGGATTGGGCACAGAGTCGGATTTAGGATTTCAGGTACCCAGTGGCTCTCACGTTTATATACACACACCTCACTGTTAGTGTCTGTGCATTTGGGAGAAGATTAAAAAGGTAGAAAAATGTATAGACTAGGAGAAAAGCCAAATTAAAAGTTTGCCAATTTGTTCCAGTTTGGGCTATAGTTGCTTACAAATCTGTTATTGTATAATGCATCCCATACCTCTCTATTTGGTACAAATTGTTTGGAATTACCATACTCAATATTATAGTCCATCTAACCCTTACATGTAAACATAGTCCTGACAATATACACACACGTTCATAAGGTCATAGTTAATAAATAATGGTCCTCCCTGTAGCTGTCAATGAATTCTTTGGAACGCATCTACGGGGAGTGCAGGAGAACCCTCCTACAGACGTCGCCCTGCCCTTCAGCACAGCAACCACACTGCATGCACTACTCCCATGGTTACTCGGGTTTTAGCACTGGATTGAAGTGCTGATTGGCGCAGCGCCACATTTTGCCGCGCATGTGAGAGCCTCCCAATGCTTTCCTAGGGGAAAGCACTTGATTGGCTAAGATTTTAAATTCTGACCATCTGGGCCAGAGAGGATGGGAGTGGTGAGGAGATTTGGAATAGGATAAGTTTGGGACCAGTGAGGCGATATGGACTAGGACAAGGTTGGGATCGGTGAAGTGCTGGTGAGGAGATATGGAATAGGATAAGGTTGGGATCAGTGAGGAGATATGGAGTAGGAGAAGGTTGGGAGTGGTGAACTGTCAGTGAGGCGATATGGAATAGGATAAGGTTGGGATCGGTGAAGTGCTGGTGAGGAGATATGGAATAGGATAAGCTTGGGATCAGTGAGGAGATATGGAGTAGGAGAAGGTTGGGAGTGGTGAACTGTCAGTGAGGCGATATGGAATAGGATAAGGTTGGGATCAGTGAGGAGATATGGAGTAGGAGAAGGTTGGGAGAGTTGAGGTGCTGATGATGCTTCATATGTGATTGGCTAAAGACTTACTGTAGCTGAGCCAACGTTGTGGGGATATGGAGCAAAGTGCTGGTGGGTATGCTGGTGGGTATGTTGATGGTTGTGGTGGTGGAACTGGTACATAGGTCGGAGAGATGTACTTAAATCAGCTCCAGGTGCTGTCAGGAAGCGGGAACCAATATCTTGTGCCATCAGATCATGTTCTAAAAAGAGAACAATTAAATAGAGATGAAGAGAGCAGGCGCAAGGAAGCCTGCCCAGCATCCCCTCCCTAGTGGGAGCAGGAAAGCCCAACCAACATCCCCTCCACCTGTGTTACCTGTACCATTTAAGCCACCAACCCATTGGTGCCAATCTGGATGCAAACTTACCAGATAAGACAGCAGTGACAGTTGATGAAGGATGTCCAGTGACCTGCAGTAGGGGAGGGGGCGGAGGCAGACCTGGAGAAGGTGCAAATAGGCCCATGTGACGATGCGAGGGTGGGCGCAGAGCAGAGGGGAAATTATGCGTTACCGTGTGACCTGTCAGAGAAAGGGATGGAGTGGTGGGACGCTGAGATATGCGAGGTGCAGACACCGGCTTCGACACACTGCTCCGGCCAGTACTAGAAGAGTCAGAGAAGGTGGTATAAAGGTTATAAGAAAACATTTAATTTTACAGCGCAGATAACATGGCTTTGCCCTATCAGAACCACATTCCCATTGATCTCATGTTATGTTGGCTTTTACCTGTTGTGGCCTGGATCTGGGGCTGATGTGGTGGGAAGATGGGTGGGTATAGGTGCAAGCTGGGCTTTTGGGGGTGCACTGGGCACCACAGAAGTTGGAGTACAGAGAGTTCTCCGGGGGGGAGCGGGAGACTGGCATGGTTTGGGCAAAATGGCTTCGCATTCCTGTTCCGGACTTCTTTCGCAACTTCTACTCAATCCAGAGATCTGCGATAGGACCAACAGTTTGAGCCGACCTCCAGAGAGAGGGGGAGATGCTGCAGAACGAGAGAACAGAAGAGCTAAGCCATGGAGAAAATAGAAGGAATGAAACAGCAAAGGAAAGAACAGAGAGCAGAGTATACCTGTGCTTGTGGACACGGTGAATGATACAGCCAAGTCATCGCCGGGAACCTACAAAAGAAGATTAACCAAAGAAACATTTGGAACAGGCAAACTAGAATGAAAATTAAATAACCCTTTGTTTTTTTCCCAATCACTTTTTTATTGAGACACAAGGTGTAAATACAGACTTTTATAGCAGTGGTACCAGCATTGCATAGACATAAAAAAAAAACATGTATCATGTACAAGATAGGTTTGAATGTAGATTATGGTCATACATTGAAAAGTTCGGCACTGTGAAGGTCTCATTTTAGGTTAATTTAAGAGTCACGAGAAACAGGAAGAACATAACTGAAGGGTGTACAGGGTTATACAAGGATACGATTAAGAAAAACATGATTATACCCAGCTGTTCATTAGCAAACACCAGCTCCCCACAAAATAAAATTCAAACTCACACAAGGCTCTGGTCAGTAGTGTTGTTGTTGCCTGAGGTGAGTGAACTACTATTACATAATAAGTATGGCACATTAAAGGGTGCACCCGAGGGGTCAAGCAACTTCATGCACCACGTGTGACTATGTTTTTATTGGCTTTACCCGATACCCATGCTTGCTACTGGAGTCTCACATTGAGACTGAGTCCCATCGACTTTTAGTGGGCCTCTCCGCTGAACCCAGGCTTTCGTGAGAGCCAGCATACAGTTCCCATTGCTCCGGTTTCTTGTGGCACCATAAGCTGCATCTCGGATAGCTGTGTTCACAGAGTGGCAGCGTTGGTACAAGCTGCGAGGGTTATACCCCTCGAGGCCTTCAGTCTAGGAATACAGTAATGGGTTCAGGGCAACTTAGGGCGCAGACGTAGAATGGATGTCTGCGCATGTTTGTTCCGGCGCTTAGGTATGGGCTTTCTTTGATGCTTTGGATCAGGCATGGAGCCCTCAGCTGCAGGGGGTGAGCAGTATTGCTTGCTTACACCCAGTCGCCTCTCCTCAAGCCTGCGCCAGAATTCCATGAAGATTGCATCCAGCCCTGTGAGAGTGGATTCCATTGGGCATGGTGTGAGGTCTTGCGCCCGCCATCTTGGTTCCCGCCGAGTCATCCAGCAGGAGCGTGTGTGGAGTCGCAGTGCCACCAGCACTGGGGCAGGGATAAGCCCACCGGCAAGGGGAGGGGGGGGGGGAACGGGAACCCTTGCTATGTCCACTTATTCCAGTAGGATAGCCAGCAGGAAGATCGCCCGCATTCTCCACGCCAGCACCCACAAATAAGCCGCAGTTGCGTGTCGAGTCCAGGCTACTCATTGTGCACGGGCAAAACTGCAGAGCGATGCAGGAGTGGATGCAGAGTATTGCCAGCTTCCAGATGGCTGGGTTTGGTGTGGCAAACGTCCAGATTAAGGCACTTCAGTAGCTTTTCATACGGAGCATGCTATGCGTGCGACCACGCAGGTTGGCAGCCAGGCCCCGCCCCCGTCACTTTTTGGGCCCATGTTGCTGGTGCATTTCCTTACAGTAGCCACATCAATGAAATTCTCAATGAATGTAAATAGTGTCAATAACCCTTTGTTTTAAATAGAGTTTGGGGAATTTAAAGGGTGTGTGCTAATAATCAAATCTAAATGTGATGACACCCAAATGGCTAGTGAAAGTATAGACTGGTGAACAGTGTAACGCTTACAATTTGCATTCATATAGCAACAACATATTCACAATTCGAGAATAGGGAAAGTTTAAAACAAGTAATTAACATACAGAAGATAACAGAGGAAGAGGTGCTCCAACAGGCTTACAATCTATGTAGAAATGGGTAAAAACACAGGAGAAATAGAAGCTGTCAGAGAGGATAGGGATTGACACATTAGGTGCCCGTATTATTAGTTCAGGCATTCCCCCTGCTGGCAGCATTATGAACTCCTATAGTGGCCATGTGACTGCTCTTTCAGAGCGATCACATGGCCACTGGGGGGGTCCTAATTTGCCTAATCTGGGCTGTCAGACAGCCCCCCCCCAGTAAAGAACACCAATCGCCGGCGGGGGAACGGCAGCGATCAGGTAAGTACATTGGAATGGAGGGAGAGGGTTAATTAAAAAAAAAAAAAAAAAACCAACAACAACAAAAAAAAAAACACTATAATAAAATATATATATATTTATTTATTTATTTTAAAATCGAGGGGTCGATGTCTGATGGCTTCCGATGCTCTGCCTCACTGCCGGGCTCCATGTGGGGCAACCCGTAAGTGATCTCTCCGGGGGAGCGATCACCCAGCAGCTCAGCAGTAAGGAGGGGTACTGCAAGATGCCTCGATATCGAGGCATCCTGCAATATCATCAGAGCGGCTGGAAACAATCACGATCGCTTCCGTCTCTCTAATTCGCTGCGGACGTATCAGGTATGTCTGCGGTCCTTAAGGACTGTTTTTTTGTCGATGTACCCGACACATCCGTGGTCGGGAAGGGGTTAAAGGACTGGAGGCTAAGGGAGAGTCTGAATGCATAGAGTAGGAAATTACATAGTAATATGGCAGCTCTTGAAATTCTTACAGATGAGAGTTGGCACAGCGGGAATAAGCAGATGAGAGAATTGCTTTGAAAGGAAATGACAAGGGGTATATTTGCTGAGTAATGAGGAAATCTAGTGAGGAGTGGAGTTAGTGAGGGCTTTCTAGGTTAGTGTTGGCAGTTGAAATGGGAACCTGAAGGGTACAGGAAGCCAATCTAACAATTGGCAAAGGGTGAGGTATGGGAGTAGCGGTCAGTCATATAGTTGTGCCAGGTGACAGCATTAATTACAGACTGAAGAAGGGCAATGTAAGCCAAAGTAAGTTGCAATAGTCAACTTGGGTAATGAGCTGCTATATTTTGTATCTTGAAAAAGGCAAATGTGGGCAATATTTTTAATGTAGAAGTAACAGGATTTTGAGAAAAAGTAAAACTGGAGTGAAAAACTAAAAAATTTTTTCAACAATTACCTGCTCATCACAGCTGCTCTCAGCATCACACTGTAAGAAAACAGAGTCAGAATGTGAGCAGGTTTAGCAAATACAGCATTAAGGAAGAAGAGAACGGGGGAATAGGAAATGTATTTAGTAAGAAGCAGGGCTCGCTCTGTTTATACACTATATAAATCCATAGATAGATAGAAGCAGGGCTCGCTCTGTTTATACACTATATAAATCCATAGATAGAAGCAGGGCTCACTCTGTTTATACACTATATAAATCCATAGATAGATAGAAGCAGGGCTCGCTCTGTTTATACACTATATAAATCCATAGATAGATAGAAGCAGGGCTCGCTGTGTTTATACACTATATAAATCCATAGATAGAAACAGGGCTCGCTCTGTTTATACACTATATAAATCCATAGATAGATAGAAGCAGGGCTCGCTGTGTTTATACACTATATAAATCCATAGATAGAAGCAGGGCTCGTTCTGTTTATATACTATATAAATCCATAGATAGAAGCAGGACTCGCTCTGTTTATACACTATATAAATCCATAGATAGATAGAAGCAGGGCTCGCTCTGTTTATATACTATATAAATCCATAGATAGAAGCAGGACTCGCTCTGTTTATACACTATATAAATCCATAGATAGATAGAAGCAGGGATCGCTCTGTTTATACACTATATAAATCCATAGATAGATAGAAGCAGGGATCGCTCTGTTTATACACTATATAAATCCATAGATAGATAGAAGCAGGACTCGCTCTGTTTATACACTATATAAATCCATAGATAGAAGCAGGGCTCGCTCTGTTTATACACTATATAAATCCATAGATAGATAGAAGCAGGGCTCGCTCTGTTTATACACTATATAAATCCATAGATAGATAGAAGCAGGGCTCGCTCTGTTTATACACTATATAAATCCATAGATAGATAGAAGCAGGGCTAGCTCTGTTTATACACTATATAAATCCATAGATAGATAGAAGCAGGGCTCGCTCTGTTTATACACTATATAAATCCATAGATAGATAGAAGCAGTGCTCTGTTTTATACACTATATAAATCCATAGATAGATAGAAGCAGGGCTCGCTCTGTTTATACACTATATAAATCCATAGATAGATAGAAGCAGGACTCGCTCTGTTTATACACTATATAAATCCATAGATAGAAGCAGGGCTCGCTCTGTTTATACACTAAATAAATCCATAGATAGATAGAAGCAGGGCTCACTCTGTTTATACTCTATATAAATCCATAGATAGAAGCAGGGCTCGCTCTGGAGAGCGAAGGGATATATATATTACAATGCTAAACAAAAATCTGCACACCAGTCAAGCCATAAGACTTGCTTTTCCCACAGAAATTCCAAATCAGCAGTGATGTTACAACCGCAAAGGATTCTGGGTGGGCATATGCAAATTAGTTTAACAAAGAATCACATTTTTGCCTCATTCCATTTTAAACATGGATTCCTTTTAATTTGTGTTTGCAGTATACAACTGCTTGGAACACAATTTAGGATAAGAATATATATATATATATATATATATATATATATATATATATATATATATATATATATATATATATATATATGCATTTTAAGAGCATTTTGAACAAAGTGGGGGCGAATACTCACAATATATCCAGTATCCAGGCAGCAGCTTAGGCAACCCTGCACGGAACACTGCAAAACATCAGCAAAGGGAACACTATAGTATCTATGTAACACTATAGTCACCAAAACAGCTTTAGCTAAATTAAGCAGTTTTTGTGTATAGAACATGTCAACTCACTGCTCAATTTTCTGCCATTTAGGAGTTAAATCATTTTAGTTTCAGTTTATTCAACCCTTGTCACACCTCCCCTGGCTGTGTCTCAGTGTCAGCATGAAAAAAGTATTTCACTTTCAACCAGATCTGACAGCATAGTGTGTTTACTTTAGAAGTTTGTTTTCTTATTTCCTGCTCTGTTGATTGAATGTTAATCAAACATAGGAATCTGCAGCAGACAACAGGCAATTAACAGAGCAGGAGATAATACATTTTCAGGAAGGGTGCAGGGAGGTGTGAATTTTCTTCAACCTTCCAATGAGCAGGGGAGCCAGACGCCGAGCTCTGCAAGCCTACTAAATTATACAGAGAAGCCAGACACCGAGCTCTGCAAGCCTACTAATTATACAATGGAGCCAGACGCCGAGCTCTGCAAGCCTACTAATTATACAGGGGAGCCAGACGCCGAGCTCTGCAAGCCTACTAATTATACAGGGGAGCCAGACGCAGAGCTCTGCAAGCCTACTAATTATACAGGGGAGCCAGACGCAGAGCTCTGCAAGCCTACTAATTATACAGAGAAACCAGACGCAGAGCTCTGCAAGCCTGCTAATTATACAGAGAAGCCAGACACAGAGCTCTGCAAGCCTACGTTATACAGAGGATCCAAACGCAGAGCTCTGCAAGCTTTATAGGGAAGTCACAGGTTGCAGCTCTAATGAAATGCCATAAGGGAGCAAGAAGCAGCTCTAAAACACACAGACAAGTTTTATCATCTGTAGACGTTGCCCTTCAAGTAGATCTGCACAAACATTACATTTGAGATACAAATCTCTAAGCATAAATACAAGAAGATCTTATACGTTACTGGACTCAATACCTGTGCAGGTCCCCCTCTCTGAGCGCACGCAATATCCATGTCAATTCCAGGACAGCTCTGCCTCTGCATGGGAAATAAGAATGATGCCACAGATGTATCATGTGATGAATGCTCTCCCAAAAAAGCAAAAACACACAACATGGGGTGGGGGCACATCCCTTCCTACGGTCCCGCAAGCAGCCCACCCAATGCCAATACCGAGCACATCCCTTCCTACTGTCCCCAAACTGCCCACCCAATACCAAACACATCCCTTCCTACTGTCCCCCAAGCTGCTCACCCAATACCAAACACATCCCTTCCTACTGTCCCCCAAGCTGCTCACCCAATACCAAACATCCCGTTCCTACTGTCCCCAAGCTGCCCACCCAATACCAAACATCCCTTCCTACTGTCCCCCAAGCTGCTCACCCAGTGCCAATACCAAACACATCCCTTCCTACTGTCCCCAAGCTGCCCACCCAATACCAAACACATCCCTTTCTACTATCCCCAAGCTGCCCACCCAATACCAAACACATCCCTTCCTACTGTCCCCAAGCTGCCCACCCAATACCAAACACATCCCTTCCTACTGTCCCCAAGCTGCCCACCCAATGCCAATACCAAACACATCCCTTCCTACTGTCCCCCAAGCTGCCCACCCAATGCAAATACCGAGCACACACACCTTCCTACTGTCCCCCAAACTGCCCACCCAATGCAAATACCGAGCACATCCTTTCCTACTGTCCCCAAGCTGCCCACCCAATGCCAATACCAAACACATCCCTTCCTACTGTCCCCCAAGCTGCCCACCCAATGCAAATACCGAGCACACACACCTTCCTACTGTCCCCCAAACTGCCCACCCAATGCAAATACCGAGCACATCCTTTCCTACTGTCCCCAAGCTGCCCACCCAATGCCAATACCAAACACATCCCTTCCTACTGTCCCCCAAGCTGCCCACCCAATGCAAATACCGAGCACACACACCTTCCTACTGTCCCCCAAACTGCCCACCCAATGCAAATACCGAGCACATCCTTTCCTACTGTCCCCAAGCTGCCCACCCAATGCCAATACCAAACACATCCCTTCCTACTGTCCTCCAAGCTGACCACCCAATGCCAATACCAAACATATTCCTTCCTACTGTCCTCCAAGCTGACCACCCAATGCCAATACCAAACATCCCTTCCTACTGTCCCCCAAGCTGCCCACCCAGTGCCAATACCGAGCACATCCCTTCCTACTGTCCCCAAGCTGCCCATCCAATGCCAATACCAAACACATCCCTTCCTACTGTCCCCAAAGCTGCCCACCCAATACCAATACCAAACACATCCCTTCCTACTGTCCCCAAAGCTGCCCACCCAATGCCAATACCAAAAACACCCCTTCCTACTGTCCCCAAGCTGCCCACCCAATACCAAACATCCCTTTCTACTGTCCCCAAGCTGCCCACCCAATGCCAATGCCAAACACATCCCTTCCTACTGTCCCCCAAGCTGCCCACCCAATGCCAATACCGAGCACATCCCTTCCTAATGTCTCCCAAGCTGCCCATCCAATACCGAGCACATCCCTTTCTATTGTCCCCCAAGAAGCCCACCCAATGCCAATACCAAACATCCCTTCCTATTGTCCCCCAAGCTGCCCACCCAATGCTCATACCAAGAACATCCCTTCCTACTGTCCCCCAAGCTGCCTACCCAATGCCAGTACCGAGCACATCCCTTCCTACTGTCCCCCAAGCTGCACACCTAATGCCAATACCGAGCACATGCCTTCCTACTGTCCCCCAAGCTGCCCACCCAATGCCAATCACCTCCCTTCCTACTGTCCCCCAAGCTGCCCACCCAATGCCAATACCAAACACATCCCTTCCTACTGTCCCCAAGCTGCCTACCCAATGCCAATACCAAGCACATCCATTCCTACTGTCCCCAAGCTGCCCACCCAATGCCAATATCGAGCACATCCCTTTCTATTGTCCCCCAAGAAGCCCACACAATGCCAATACCAAACATCCCTTCCTATTGTCCCCCAAGCTGCCCACCCAATGCTAATACCAAGCACATCCCTTCCTAATGTCTCCCAAGCTGCCCATCCAACACTGAGCACATCCCTTTCTACTGTCCCCCAAGCTGCCCACCCAATGCCAAGCACCTCCCTTCCTACTGTTCCCCAAGCTGCCCACCCAATGCCAGTACCGAGCACATCCATTCCTACTGTCCCCAAAGCTGCCCACCCAATGCCAATACCGAGCTTGTAATGTCCGAAACACGTTTCGCCCCGTGGCAGGGGTTTCCTCAGTATCGGACACTACAAGCAATTTGGCAATATCTGACTTTGGACTGATCCAACCCCATTGTTTGTTTTTAACCATTTATTTTATTGCTTTTACTAAACATTTTTTATTCAATCTGGATTAAAGGACCATTATAGTGCCAGGAAAACAAACTCGTGTTCCTGGCACTATAGTGCCCTGAGGTTGCCCCCACCCTCAGGGTCCCACTCCCGTGGCGCTGAAGGGGGAGGAAGGGGTTAATCCCTTAATCCGTCAGCGCTGGGACTCTCCTCCCTCTTCTTCCGTCACCGGCTGAATGCGCATGCGCAGCAAGAACCGTGCGCGAATTCAGCCAGTCTCATAGGAAAGCATTCTCAATGCTTTCCTATGGACGCTGGCGTCTTCTCACTGTGAAAATCACAGTGAGAAGCGCCTCTAGCGGCTGTCAATGAGACAGCCACTAGAGGCTGGATTAACCTATAGGTAAACATGGCAGTTTCTCTGAAACTGATATGTTTATAGCAAAAAGGGTTAAACCTAGGTGGACCTGGCACCCAGACCACTTCATTAAGTGGAAGTGGTCTGGGTGCCTATAGTGGTCCTTTAATAAAGATCTTTGTGAAGAAAATCTGCCTGCACAGCTCAACTTTATTCTACTCATCCTGAATATACCACAGGAGCATCTAGAAGGATGGAGACATCCTACTGAAAAGTCCCACTGCACCACTCATGAGAACCATATGTTACTATTTGGCTCCAGGCTTGTGAGTACTTAATCTCCATACTGTACCAAATTAATAAAAAAAAAAATTAAAAAAAACAAAAAAAAAAATATATATATATATCTTGGCAATATTGCACTATATTATTTTGTGTTTCTTTTAGACAGATCAAGACGTGTGATCCACCTATTGTATGTAAGGTAGTGTGTATGCCCAATACAAAATGAAAGCTTGACGTCATTCTTCTATGTAACTAATAGTTAAATAGTTCTACATACCTGCTCCTTGTACCGTCTACGTTTTTTGGGGTTTATTGGAATTGACATTCTATTCTCAAGACCACTGGCCCCAGGATCATCTGAGCTGGCCTCATCGCTTCTCTTTCGCTTGGTTGTTGGATGCTTCCTGGCCGCTTCCTCCAGTGGTGCAGAATCCAGTGACACATCTCTCTGAAAGATGAGATGGGCATTAACATTAATGAAGAAATGACACAATCAGGAATGAAAGCAACAAGAGAAATTGTGATGTTTGTATAACTGTTCCAGCTAATTATTAAGATTGAGTGATTATTGACAAGTTTGTCAAAATTTTTATTTTTCCTTCTTTAGTCATGACCGTGCAAATATGCAGTACAATATTTATTGAGGCTTAATTTTACATAACAAGATAAGGTGATAAGCCCTTCAAAAGCCAAATACCAAAAAAAATAAAAATAGGTGGTCAATGCGGACAATCTGGGTACATTGTTTCCAAACACTGTGACTAATTACTCCAAACTTTATGAAAGGAGGCAGGAGAATGGTGGAGCAGGGCATTCAATCTATCCATAAGTTATCGCTTGCTAGGACTACTGAAATAGAGGGAGTTGCTGCAGCCTTAAGCAATATAGCAAGTACAGCCCTACAGCAACAAGGGTAATTCTATTCAGCAGTTTTTGGCGAGGATTCGTGAACCCCTCCAAAAAGTGTCCAGTAATCTGGATCTACCAAACTCCTGACTTCCTTTCGGTAAGGCTTTGACAACGGATTATTCAGCCAAAATGTTACAGTTCTGTGCCTCCTGTCGATTACTTTTGCTTTGTTACACTCTTTGTTTAGACCAGGATTATCTGTTTTTTTTATGATTAAAAGGGACACTATAGTCACCAGAACAACTACAGCTTATTGAATTTGTTCTGGTGAGTAGAATCATAATCTTCAGGCTTTTTGCTGTAAACACTGTCTTTTCAGAGAAAATGCAGTGTTTACATTACAGCCTAGTGAGAACTTCACTGGCCACTCCTCAGATGGCTGTTAGAGATCCTTCCTGGGTCATGGCTGCCTAAAATGCATCCAAACATTCAGTATCTCCTCCCTCTGCATGCAGACACTGAACTTTCCTCATAGAGATTCATTGATTCAATTCATCTCTATGAGGAGATGCTGATTGGCCAGGGCTGTGTTTGAATTGTGCTGGCTCTGCCCCTTATGTGCCTCTTTGTCAGTCTCAGCCAATCCTATGGGGAAGCATCGTGATTGGAACAGGCTACCACTTCTGCTGATGTCAGCAGGCAGGTCTAATTGAAACAGGCACAAAGCATGCAGCTGAAGACTTGAATACAGGTAAGATTTACTATATTTAGGGAATCATGAGGGTACCAGGGTGGCTAGATGGTGGGTTTAGCACTATAGGGTCAGGAATACATGTTTGTGTTCCTGACCCTATAGTGCTCCTTTAAAGGACCACTATAGGCATCCAGACCACTTCAGCTTAATGAAGTGGTCTGGGTGCCATGTCCAGCTAGGTTTAACCCTTTTTTCTATAAACATGGCAGTTTCAGAGAAACTGCTATGTTTATAATAGGGTTAATCCAGCCTCTAGTGGCTGTCTCATTGATAGCTGCTAGAGGTGCTTCTCACTGTGATTTTCACAGCGAGAGGACGCCAGCGTCCATAGGAAAGCATTGAGAATGCTTTCCTATGAGACTGGCTGAAAGCGCACGCGGATCATGCCACGCATGCGCATTCAACCGAGGAGGAGGAGAGTCCCCCGCCCGGCGCTGGAGAAAGAGGTAAATTTAACCCCTTCCTCTCCATCCAGCCCGCCGGGAGTGGGACCCTGAGGGTGGGGGCACCCTCAGAGCACTATAGTGCCAGGAAAACAAGTATATTCTCCTGGCACTAAAGGGGTCTTTTAAGGGATCTTTTTGAGGATATGACAGTTACCACTGAATGTGTTTATGCAAACACCTGTTGTGGTGCCTTGTTATTACAATTTAAATTATTGCTCCACGAGAGTAAAAAATGTAATTAAAAAAAAAAAAAAGTCTATTTCTTAACCATTATTCCATCCTCCTGATGAACTCAAACACTATGGTTTCCCGTAGGAAAGTTTTAGGAGCTGTTGCACATGCGTGGCAAATTGCTGCACTGAGATAACCAGCAGCTCCTCACAGAAACACATTGACTCTATGAATCTCGATGGGTAGCATTCTGCAGAGCGTGGAGAGGATGAACAAACCCAGGAATATCCTCCAGTGTCTGTGGGAGTGGGTCAGAGGAGGAAACAGTGCTTTACAATTCTCGGTCTGCAGGGACATTAATCTGCAGTGGTTTAAGTGATTACAGTGTCCCTTTAAAGGAGTACAGCAGGACAACCCATGCAAAAGAGCAGTCTGTGTTCCCGTGGGACAAACAAGGAACTGTAGAAAATCCAGGGACAGTAATACTGCCTCCATGTCTGCCCAATAAGGTGCCACTCCACCATCACATGTACCAATTCCACCCACCTGCCTGGATATTCTGGATATCTGTGCTGTAGGATGAAGGAATCAATGGCTGACTGCAGACAAGTCAAGTCAAATAAACGTATTCTGGACTGGATTTGTTTTGACACTGCAGTATATTGGGCGATTGTAGCATTTGTCAAGCAGGAGGCGAGGGAGGTATAATTTAGTGCATATTACTCCATTGGATCTGCTTATAATTGTACAACCAGATAAGTGAAAGGCTGTGAGCAGAGTAACAACCAATTTAAAAGTTTGCTGATTAAATCCGAATGTCAATACAGGCAGTTTTACAGTAATTTAGAGATTGGTGAATATCCACTTAGAAGATGAGGTTAGGTTACTGCAGTGTCCAAATAGAATTTAACTGTTCAGCTTACAACTCCCCAGTGTTGCTCGGTGGGGGTAATGGGACATAATACCAACAGAAAACGAGGGCTATCAGATGCAATATAGCACATACAGAGCTACAAGAGGATTATTGATCTCAACTTTATGGATCAATTATAGAAAATATTACTGTTAAGAAAATGATTCAGGGACTGTATATTACAAATCTGTTCACACTTTATGACCAATCGCCATTTGTTGCCAAAACTCCACTTTACTAACTCCCTCTCTCACCTGCATGGCCTCCAGGCTGCCATAACTGTTGATACAAAACCCATCAATCAGATCTTCTTCTCGAAACGATGTACTTTCACCTCCTTTCCGCCGCCTCCTTTTCTTGCGTGGTGGGCGTGGCCAATGTGCAGTATCAGGACTAGAGGAAGAATTAGCAGGGGACAGTCTTCGCTGGCGGTCTCTCTGTGATTTGGATCGCCTGTGTGGAATGCGTGGCCCTGAACGGACTCTAGGTGTGTGGGGCTGAGCCTCCATGTAGACTTATAAAAGATTACCCACCAGGATACAACATATTTGTTCCTACCAAAAACCACCAGCCAAATACTTTGTTTGGCTTAATACTGGTTATACAGACATTGAAAATGCCGTGAGTCGGATATAACAGATGTGTGATGAGTGCGTTGTAACCTAGGGCTTATACAGAAAGTAGATGCGTAAAAACACAAAGCTGCAAAAAGAGGTATCTCCAATACCCAATCACGTGCAGAAATTAAGGATGGCAGACTGGGGATCCAGCCGAACGCAGGATTTAGGTAGGGGTGAAATATCCAGTGAATATAAAAGGATAATAGGATGTTCTGGGATAACTAAGTGACCTTGAAGAGACCTGGATGATATAAAGAATATAAAACAATGAGAGGGTTTGGTGCTTTGAAAAACTGTTAATGTCTGAAGGTGTCCTAGTGAATCTTTGTTGGGGTGTTTCAGGTATACAAGAATTGTGACAGGGGCCCTGTGTGCCGGCAATACAGTGATTGTGATGGGGGCCCTGCGTGCCGGCGATACAGGGATTAAAACAAAGGGGAGCCTGTGATACAGGGATTGTGACAGGACCCTGCGTGCAGGGATTAAAAGATAGGGGAGCCTAGGATAAAGGAGAAGCAGGGCCCTAGGGGACTGTGATAGGGGCGAGAGTGGGGTCCAGTGGGTTTGGATGGAGAATAGCAGCTCCTGGGACTCTAATGTATGGACTGAGGGAGGATGGCCACTATGAGCAAGTAATGGGGGAGAAGGGACCCCTGGGAGCCTGTAATGGGGGAGAAGGGACCCCTGGGAGCCTGTAATGGGGGAGAAGGGACCCCTGGGAGCCTGTAATGGGGGAGAAGGGACCCCTGGGAGCCTGTAATGGGGGAGAAGGGGCCCCTGGGAACCTGTAATGGGGGAGAAGGGACCCCTGGGAACCTGTAATGGGGGAGAAGGGACCCCTGGGAACCTGTAATGGGGGAGAAGGGACCCCTGGGAACCTATAATGGGGGAGAAGGGACCCCTGGGAACCTGTAATGGGGGAGAAGGGACCCCTGGGAGCCTGGAATGGGGGAAAAGGGACCCCTGGGAGCCTGGAATGGGGGAAAAGGGACCCCTGGGAGCCTGGAATGGGTGAGTAGGGGCCCCTGGGAGCCTGGAATGGGTGAGTAGGGGCCCCTGGGAGCCTGTAATGGGTGAGTAGGGGCCCCTGGGAGCCTGTAATGGGGGAGTAGTAGGGGCCCCTGGGAGCCTGTAATGGGGGAGTAGGGGCCCCTGGGAGCCGGTGATGGGGGAGTAGGGGCCCCTGGGAGCCGGTAATGGGGGAGTAGGGGCCCCTGGGAGCCGGAAATGGGGGAGTAGGGGCCCCTGGGAGCCTGTAATGGGGGAGTAGGGGCCCCTGGGAGCCGGAAATGGGGGAGTAGGGGCCCCTGGGAGCCGGTGTCACAGTGAGGGAGCTGCAGTGTTGGGGGGCGCTGGGACTCCCCGATATCTCTCTCCGTCTCCCCTCTCCGTCCCTGACTCCACTCTTTCCCTTTCTCCTCAAGCCCCGCCTACTGCACGCAAGCTTACGTCTGTACGTGCACAACAAAACGCGATACAATAGCCGCTTCGACGTCATCAACATTTGACCATCAGTGGGCTCCGTCGCTCCGTAACTCCGCCCCTTCATGGCGATTGCGTCACGGCGCCTGTGCTGAAGCGCACGTGACTAACACCTAGTGTGTGCTGGCTAAGAAACGCCCACTCCAAGTTACGTCACCATAGTAACCACTTCCTACTATTCCTTCACCTCCAGTCAATACAAGTTACTGTACAACTCCCAGAATACACCGCTCCCATAATATTACACCTCTCCCAGAATACACCGCTCCCATAATATTACACCGCTCCCATAATATTACACCTCTCCCAGAATACACCGCTCCCATAATATTACACCTCTCCCAGAATACACCGCTCCCATAATATTACACCTCTCCCAGAATACACCGCTCCCATAATATTACACCTCTCCCAGAATACACCGCTCCCATAATATTACACCTCTCCCAGAATACACTGCTCCCAGAATATTACACCTCTCCCAGAATATTACACCTCTCCCAGAATACACTGCTCCCAGAATATTACACCTCTCCCAGAATATTACACCTCTCCCAGAATACACCGCTCCCATAATATTACACCTCTCCCAGAATACACTGCTCCCAGAATATTACACCTCTCCCATAATACACCGCTCCCATAATATTACACCTCTCCCAGAATACACTGCTCCCATAATATTACACCTCTCCCAGAATACACTGCTCCCATAATATTACACCTCTCCCAGAATACACTGCTCCCATAATATTACACCTCTCCCATAATATTACACCTCTCCCATAATACACCGCTCCCAGAATACACCGCACCCATAATATTACACCTCTCCCAGAATACACTGCTCCCAGAATATTACACCTCTCCCAGAATACACCGCTCCCATAATATTACACCTCTCCCAGAATACACTGCTCCCAGAATATTACACCTCTCCCATAATACACCGCTCCCATAATATTACACCGCTCCCATAATATTACCACTCTCCCAGAATACACCGCTCCCATAATATTACACCTCTCCCAGAATACACCGCTCCCATAATAATACACCTCTCCCAGAATACACTTCTCCCATAATATTACACCTCTCCCAGAATACACTGCTCCCATAATATTACACCGCTCCCATAATATTACACCTCTCCCAGAATACACCGCTCCCAGAATAATACACCTCTCCCAGAATATTACACCTCTCCCATAATACACCGCTCCCATAATATTACACCTCTCCCAGAATATTACACCTCTCCCAGAATATTACACCTCTCCCATAATACACCGCTCCCATAATATTACACCACTCCCATAATATTACACCTCTCCCAGAATACACTGCTCCCATAATATTACACCGCTCCCATAATATTACAACTCTCCCAGAATACACCGCTCCCATAATATTACACCTCTCCCAGAATATTACACCTCTCCCAGAATACACCGCTCCCATAATATTACACCTCTCCCATAATATTACACCTGTGACGAGACCAATCTCGCCACATTGCTTTGGAGAAGCCTGGTTACTCGCCTGCTGCCTTTGGACTATGGCCCCCTTTTAAAAGACATCTTTTTTTACCTGCAGAAAAGCTTCATTCGTGCTTTTCTGCCTGGGGTTCGGTAGATTTGTTTGAATGTGTTATACCCCAGATAGGAATCCCATGGAGCCCATTCGTATGAAACTGACTGTAAGACTTTGGCTCCATGGCGATTAAACTGTATTCGTGTGGTCTGAGCGCCATTCACTTAATAATGTGCGCTCAGACCTGAGCTATCTGGGGATATGTGAAATGTCTGTGTTTTATGTATAAAAGGTGACTTTATGTATTTTAAAGTGTTTTGTGTCTTTTTGCAACCATGTGCTTAATTGAGTCTTGTGTCTGTCCTGGGAGATAATTGAATTACTTATCTCCAGGATAGAAGACTCTGAAACTGGTTTGGGCCAGAAAGCCATGCTTCATTTAGTCACAAAGGACTTTTTTACTAACTTTTGAACCCCTTGTCTGATTCAGGCCATTTTTTAATATGTTGTTCCCCTGAATGGATTGATTGTGAATATGTAATTTTATGTGAATGTGATGTATGGTTTTAGAGTTATGAAAGTTGGGTAGAAAGTATGTTTTAACTGTATGTATAATTGAGTTTCCTCAGGATAAGGGGAGGGAATATGTGGGATGTAACTGTGATGTGATTGGTTGTTTTATACCTCCCTGTGGGCGGTCCTGTATTTGCAAGACTGTAATAAAAACCAGGCTGGGTGTGCCAGCACCTCAGACCACTGCTTGACTCTCAACACGGAGCCTTGTCTCGTTCTTGGGGGGATTCACTGTATGCTGTTAGAGACTGATTGCCAGGAGTGTAAGCTGATTGTCTGCTTTTCCTGTTCGTCTGCTAGCAGCTATTTGGGAGGTTCCAGTTCGGGAGTGCTATTTTGTATCAAGTTCGGGACTTTGGTGTTCTGCAGTAGCTGTGCCTGAATACACCGCCCTGCTGGGCCATTACACCGCTACCATAAAATACAACTCCAGAATACACCGCCCCATAATATTACACCCTCCCAGAATACACCGCCCCATAATATTACACCTCTCCCAGAATGGCACGGCCCCATAAATTACACCTCCCAGAATACACTGGCCCCAGAATAATATTACACCCTCCCAGAATATTGCACCTCTCCCAGAATACACCGGGCCCTATAATACTACACCTCAATCCAGAATACACCGGGCCCCATAATATTACACCTCTCCCAGAATACAATTCTCCCAGAATATTACACTCTCCCAGAATACACCGCCCCAGAATACACCGCTTCCCAGAATATACACCTCTCCCAGAATACACCGCCCTAAGGCTATTACACCTCTCCCAGAATATTACACCTCTCCCAGAATACACTGCTCCCATGGGCTATACCGCCTCCCATAATATTACACTCTCTCCCAGAATACACCGCCTCCCATAATATTAAGCACCTCTCCCAGAATACACCGCTCCCATAATATTACACCTCTCCCAGAATACACTGCTCCCATAATATTACACCTCTCCCAGAATATTACACCTCTCCCAGAATACACCGCTCCCATAATATTACACCTCTCCCAGAATACACCGCTCCCATAATATTACACCTCTCCCAGAATATTACACCTCTCCCAGAATACACCGCTCCCATAATATTACATCTCTCCCAGAATACACCGCTCCCATATTACACCGCTCCCATAATATAACACCTCTCCCAGAATACACCGCTCCCATATTACACCTCTCCCAGAATACACCGCTCCCAGAATATTACACCTCTCCCAGAATACACTGCTCCCATAATATTACACCTCTCCCAGAATACACCGCTCAAAGAATATTACACCTCTCCCAGAATACACCGCTGCCAGAATATTACACCTCTCTCAGAATACACCGCTCCCATAATATTACACCTCTCCCAGAATACACCGCTCCCATAATATTACACCTCTCCCAGAATACACCGCTCCCAGAATATTACACCTCTCCCAGAATACACCGATCCCATAATACACGCTCCCATATTACACTGCTCCCATAATATTACACCTCTCCCAGAATACATAAGCTCCCATATTAAACCTCTCCCAGAATACACATAACCAAGTATTACACCCCTCTCCCAGAATACACCGCTCCCATAATATTACACCTCTCGGAATACCTGCTCCCATAATATTACACCTCTCCCAGAATAGTACACCTCTCCCAGAATACACAGCTCCCATAATATTACACCTCTCCCAGAATACACCACTCCCATAATATTACACCTCTCGGAATACACTGCTCCCGCCAATATTACACCTCTCCCAGAATATTACACCTCTCCCAGAATACACCACTCCCTTAATATTACACCTCTCCCAGAATACACCGATCCCATAATATTACACCTCTCCCAGAATACACCGCTCCCATAATATTACACCTCTCCCAGAATATTACACCTCTCCCAGAATATTACACCTCTCCCAGAATACACCGCTCCCAGAATATTACACCTCTCCCAGAATATTACACCTCTCCCATAATATTACACCTCTCCCAGAATACACCACTCCCATAATATTACACCTCTCCCAGAATATTACACTTCTCCCAGAATATTACACCTCTCCCAGAATACACCGCTCCCAGAATATTACACCTCTCCCAGAATATTACACCTCTCCCAGAATACACTGCTCCCATAATATTACACCTCTCCCAGAATACACCACTCCCATAATATTACACCTCTCCCAGAATACACCGCTCAAAGAATATTACACCGCTCCCAGAATATTACACCTCTCCCAGAATACACCGCTCCCATAATATTACACCTCTCCCAGAATACACCGTTTCCAGAATATTACACTGTGGCAAACCTAGCCACTTGGACAATATAAAGAGACTGTGCCTTTAAGGGTTGCCTGTATGGTTGTGGGATATGTGTTTTACTCAGTGTAATGTATGCTGGCTGTAATCAACGTGTATTTGCTGTATTGGTTATCTGCCGAATGCAGATAGCTGTTTTTCCACTCAACGGTACAACGGTACTCCTGTGGGAGGATCCCTCCCGTGCAGCAGTGCCTGATGGGAGAAATGCCCTGTACAGTAAGTTCCCCATGTAGTCCACTCTGGGAATGCCCCTGGGATGGGACTCAGGATACCCCTTGCATGGGGACTTGTATAAATTGTGGAGCTGGAAATAAAGACCTCAGTTGACTCTCAGAACTGTGTTTCGTCGGGTTACTGGGAGATTTGGGATATTGCCTTGCTTTTTCCAGCGCTTGACTGTGGATTACTTCCTGAACCAGCGGAATTTGTGGATTTAATATTGGCGTTCCGCTACAATTGGTGGCAAGCGACGGGATCCAACTCTACAGCCGAAACAGCGCATTCGAATGAAAGAAACAACCGAACGAAAAAAGGGAATGGCAATTCGTATGCAGCAAACAGACGAAAGAGATCAATGAATGGAGACTGATTACACAACTTTGAAAAGGTAGACGCTAAAGGAACTGCTGGAGGCTAGAGGGAAAAGCGCCAGCAATAAATCCAAAGCAGTATTAATTGCTGAACTGATGGAGGGCGACCAGGCACACAGCAGCACACCCCCACCAGC